ATTTCCCATTTTTCCTGTCCCATCCCAATTGGCTGCCATGTGAGTAGAGACTGGTTTGTCCTGTGTTAAATATGCTGAGTGGTTTGATCCCACCCTGCAAAAATATCTCAAGAAAATAGAAGGGAAAGCCTAGATTCCTCTTTACTATGGGGAAACAGGATGAATACCATGATCAAAAATAAAATAAAAATTTTAAGCAAGCAAGGTAAGATAAAGGGAGCAGCACAAAGAGGGAAGAGTGTTAGTTTTTCAGCTAGAAATGCTTCAGAGACTCGCATTTTCTTTTTTCCTACACATATCAAGGTCAGCATTCCCAGTGCACAGTGTAACAAGAAGAACACATTTGACTGAATTTCTGCACACACAGGTATCTGTCAATCCAAGTTTAAATCACTTAGTGTTCACCACAAGCTGTGGGAGCCCCAGGTGACATCAAAATTTAGGTTTTCTACACTGGATTCTGCATCGAATTAGCATCTGGTGGGGTTTCCATGGTCCAGAAGTGTCAATAATCCAATGTGGAACCACCGTGGGAGGTTATATGAAGCTTCATCCCTATAGTCCTGGATTTTTTTCCGCATGTCCCACATTCAGAGGGAGTTGAACAATATCTTTTGACAGTATTTGATTGAAATAAGAACTGTGTAGTGGTTTCTTGGTGGCCATACGTGAACTATATGTGAGCCATACGCTTCCTGAGCTCTTCACTTTGTTTCCTTTAGCTTGCTGCTGGGTACAGACTGTGAACGTTTTTTTGCTGCATTTCTTCTTCCATATAGGATTCTTTACTTCCTGTATGAAGGTTTGTTCTTGGCATTGTCTGAAAATAGTACATCACTGCAAATAACAGTTATAGCCACCAGAGATGCATGAGTACACTTTGGAGTGAATCAATAACACGGTTCTGTATTTTCGTTTTGCTGTGTGAATTTATTGCTCTTTTCCATAACTCCATAGAGTGAGTGCCTATCACTAGCATTCTTAAAATTGCCTCCATCCTTGATTTGCAGTGGAATTAAATGTAAAAAATTATGTATACTGGTAAAGAACTAGAGGGATGTCATGAAGTATTTCTTTTTCACAGAAGTGCAGTAGTCCCTAGACCGGAGTTTGCAGGAAGACAATGGGCAAAAGATGCTGAGCTTATCCCATGGCACTTTTCTAGCATTTATCTCATGTTTTCTGTAGGTGTAGTTATACTGTGAAAGGGAAAAATCACTGAGACAGAGGTGATCCAGAAGATGTGTAAAGGTTTGGAAGTCCTGGATGTACACAGGCATGTATGGCACAGTAGCATGGCACACTAGCATGTCCCAGAGCACAACCTAGCACTTGAAAAATATACGATTTGCAGGATTTTTAAGAACTGCTGATCCTGGACAGAATCCAAGTTATATTCATGTATTATAAAATGGCAGTGGTATTAATTAGATACAGTGTCTGGTATTTCCTGGAATTATATAGGCATCTTTTTGTTTAATAACATAGGATTTTGTTGAACACAACCTTGGTACGTCATTATGGTAACATGCAAAAGAAGCTCAACTCCCCATTTGCAGCTTTATAAGGTGACAAGAGAAAACCTTAATAAGCCACAAGTAGAATATCATAAAAAGTGTTTCACACCTGCCCCCCTTCCCACACTTTGTTGGCAGCCCAGCAGTGTATTGAATTTAACACACATTTACCTGCAGTGAGCCAATATTTTCAGAGGATCAGTGTTTAACAGCAGGACTGTACTACTGTTCTTTGTAAAACTAGCATGTGAATGGATTCAGCCTTTGAAGTGATTTTTCCAAAGTGCTATAACAAGAAAAAGAGAAACCAGGCATCCTGGCTCTTCTGTAAGCAACCTGAAGGCCACACCCTTTGCAAATAAGAGAGTCATTGTCAGTTGTCATTCTTTGAGGGTATTTATTGCCAATAGAAACACCATAATACTGCTTGGTAAGGTAATGCCAATTCCATAATGTAGCCTTTGCAAAAATTATGACAAAGAGAGGGAATTCAGTAAATAAGTGAAGTACATGGCACAGTGGAGGCTGGCAGCTCTATCTAGAACACATAATTTCCTTTTCCTATTTTTTTTCCCCCAGATTTGTCTTCCATTTGTTTCTCCAGTCCCTCTTTATTTCAGCAGTTCCTGATACAGGGATGGTGTGTTAGCATGCCTTAATATTGAACAATTTACGCTTGTTGTTAGTTATACATCATTTAAGGCTGTGATCATAAATTGTTCAATCACAAGGTTTAGTCAAAGCTAGCATTCTTTACTGATGTCTTTTCCCAAGGGTGTTGAAAATTCGATTGTTCAAAGTGCAAATATGGTTTAGCAATCCATTCCAAGAACCATTTATCAGAAATCCTAAGGAGGTAATATATAAAAGTGGGATAGGAAACCTGCACATTAAATGGGATTTAGCAGCCAAAGCCTTTGGAACTGCATTCCTGTGAATGACTGGAATGGAGCAGAACAAAGTCAATTACTGACTGTAATTAAGGAGTGGATGCATTTAAACTGTAGAGAGCAGTAGCAGTCTTCTTGAAACTGTCTAGTAACACTGAAGATTAGTCTGAGGAAAGAAAGAAAAAGGACTTGAACTATATCTTACAGAAACTATATTTTAAATTAATTCTCTTCCTTCCATTCTATGATCTGTTTTTACAGATTTGCTCATAAAACACTGATAATATATGATTATCAAAATAACACATTCAGACAAAGAAATTTTCAACATGTATTTTGCTTTGGTCTTGTTAGTAATGGAGTATCTCTTTTGCATATCATACACTACAAATGTTTATGCAGTGCTGAATACTTGTTTTTTAATAAAGCCTGAATTTACTGAACGGAAGACTGAACTATATTGTGTCCATTTTAAGCCTTCAAAATACAGTAAATCTAATTATATATGCTGCTTTTACTTTGAAAATGTTATTCTATTTTATAATTTTAATAATGATTTGTTTATACTGGGAGAGAGACATTAGATTGAATTGTTGCCTGTGTTTAGTCTAATTCATATCTGCATGTATACATTAATAAATTGTGATATAGTGTAATACATTTTGAATCCAAACTTTGCCATGTGAGCTGTGAGAACTAGAGGTCAGCTCTTTCAACTGCTCACCTTCAGTTGAATTTTGACTAATTTTTTCTTTTCATAAAGGGAACAGTGAGTGTATGAATAGGGATTAACATATGATTGTGGACTAATAAGGGAATTAAAATTTCCCCAATAAATAACTCTCCTGTGCACATGGGGAACAATGAAGTGGCTGGAGGTCTGCTCTTAACGGGTGTGGATGGGACGGGATGAACATCTGCAGCCAGGCAGCCTCTGAGCCTGCACTGGGGACCATTCCCACATTCTCTGCAGCACTCTCACAGGATGTCTCTGCTAGAGCTGCACTGATGGGCTTTTCCTTAATGCTGATGACTTTAGAAACCTTCCTTACAAGCACTTCCTCAGTAAATGGAAGGTTGCAGAACAATTAAGAAAACATTAAGTTCTTTTTTTCCTTTTTTTTTTTTTTTTTAATTCCTGGTTGTATTTCAGTTTTAAGAAAGAAGTGTGAAGTACCCAGGCTAGTGAGGAGCTGTTTTTTCTTTTATGCTATAGAAAAACTCTTGACATAGGGCAGACGCAGTGAAGCAGTAGCACTTCAGGTTAATGGATTTACATAAATAGGCTGTGCCAGGTCTCAAAGGCTTTGCTCTGCTTTTCCTCTCACTTTGGTCAGAAAATAATATCTGCTGTTCACTGTGTTCAGCCATTCTCCAAAAAAATACCTGAAAAGTTTTTGGTCCTGAATAATACCATGTTCCGGTAAGCAGATTAAACCTGCATCCTCAAAACACTGAAATTCAATATACAATTCTCACATGCAGATGCTATTGAGTTATGCACAGGCAATTCTTAACAACAAAACATAAGAAAAAACTGGTTCCAGAGCTGGCAGGAGATGAGCTGGTTTGGACTGTGGGCAGGACAAGCTTCTGCCCCTTGCAAAATGTAACCCTTCATTCACTCATCTGCAAACACACAGAACTGCTGTGCCCTGAATCATGCTTCAAGCACAAGCTGAACAATCCTGGGGCAAAACACTTCATAGTTCTGTGCCTCAGTTTTGACATCTGTAAAATGGTTGTTTTCACCTGCTGTGTAAAATACCTGGAGATCTGCTCTGGTGTATATATGTGTGTGTGTATATATATACATATATATATAAATGATGTAATATTACTATCCACATGGTTTGCAGAAGTTCAGATCAACAAAATACATGCATGCATATTTCTACAAAATATTGTTAGGCAGTGAAACAGCATTGTCATGGGATTGAATATGCTTTTGATAAATATTCCCAGTGAGTGGGTCAAAAATGCAAATCAACTCACATTCAGGCACGTGGGGATTTTTTTTTTTGTGATAAATGGGCCTCTAATTACTTTGGTACAGCCATCTTTGAAGGTATTTTATTATTATTATTTAATGTAAAAAAGAGTGACATCATTAATTTTATTAAAAGTGGACTCTGGAATTACAGTTATATAATAAATGTGTAAATTTGAGGTACCAGATATAAAAATATAAATGCAGGTACCAGATATAAAAATAATATTACCAAAATGGAAAGGGAAACTGAAAATAACAGGAATTAATTCTCATATTGCTTTTTTTTCAGGGTGCTTTGATTTATATTTGAGCTGTGCCTTGTAAAGCTGAGTTTCCTGGCTTTTTTTAACTTTCATCACATTACTGTTACTTTTGCACTATTTGTGTTTGGGGGTTGCACTGCTGAGACAATATCTCATTTGTTGTGACATACTCAGAACAGTTTTCAGACAGAGGTTCGAAACTCCTCAGTAGCTCAGCACTCCAGCAGATAATTCTGGGTACAAAGGAACAGCATTTGGGTGCGTAGGAGAGAAAATAGAAGAAAATATTCTGTCCAGTATGTGTTTTTCTTACCTATGTGTCCCATGCCCTCTCCAGATCACGACAGTGTCAGGAAATGAGTTTCTCCTCCAGTCAGATATCGACTTTCTCATACTGGATTGGTTCCACGCTATCAAAAATGCAATTGACAGATTGGTATGTATTTGTTTTGGCTGTTACCTTTATTAATTAAGATGTAGCAATTTCAAATTCATTTGCTTAGGCATCTCTACAGGTTTTAGGCAGTCAGCAGCTAGCTAGATGTTCCTTTTTCTGAAGGATTTAAAAATATGTATGCAAATCTACTAAAAAATGTCATATAAACAAGGTTGTTGAACAAAAAATGTCACTTGATTCTTGCCTTGAAATGGAACGCTACATTTGTTTCTGAAATAACAAGGACATTGGTTTGCTGAGGGTTGTAAAAGCACACAAACCCTTAACAAATGAATTTTTGCATTTTCTGTTTATGCAGCCTACAGTATATAATCTTCAATAGAACTATTAATACATTTGAGCCTTTTATGAATTTTTGTATTACTTATTCAGAAGAATAACACTAGCAAATAATATTCTTTTGTAACTGATTGCTGTTATTCTCCCAGGAAGGCTGAGGGTTTTTTACTAGAAGTAAGCAGGGCTGCATTTTATTAAAACAGTTTTTAATTACTAAACCAGATTCAGCTGTAGCTTTTTCTTTCTTTTTTGCCACTCTCAGTACAAATTCCAAATGCCTTCCTCCTATCCCTGCCTGATCCAAGAACGTGTGTTTTTAGAGGGTACTGACTTTCCTTGTTCACTGCAGAATCTAGTGAGAGAAAAATATCCCCATTTCTTGCATTTCTTTCCAGAGGTTTTGCTGCAATGAAATTGGCAGAGCAGGCAGAGGCAGCCTCTTTGAAAGGGTTAATCCGAGCACAGCTACTGTTTCCTTAAAGAGCTACAAACATTATATTACCCTGAGGCTATAATCACCCAAGGAAAGTTTGATCTGATGATGTATGTCTTCATATTGTGCATTTCATTGGGTGTGTGAGGATATTGGTATCCTACCGAAGATTCTGGGGTGGAGTTTTCCATGAAGACTTACAATACTCTTCCCCCCACCGCCCCACTTTTCAGCTAAACATCTAATAGACTTAATTTTTTCACTGAAATTAAAGTAATACAATGTCCTCAGCAGCTCTGAACGTGCAGTGAACCACAGAATGTGTGCTGGTGGGGCACAACTTGTAAGTGGTTAAGGTACCAGAAAGCAGGGCTTGCTCTGGTGAAAGCTGGCCCTTCCTGTGTGTGCAGGACAGTATGCCACCATGAAGTACTCGGTGACCATTTCATGCATGTCATTTATTTCAGTTTTAAAACTCTGAATGATTGTTTAAAGCCTTGCAGATTTCCAGGTGTTAGGACAGCTAAATCTCACCTGACCAAACACTGTAGGAAAAGATGTGATATTAGCCAAGTATCATCTCCTTTTTTTCTTTTATTTTTTCATCTTTTCTCCCTTAATAATCCCTAATTGTCGTTTTGTATAGCAGTGAATTAGAGCAAGAGAAGTGTCCCCCTCTTTCCTAAGCTTAGACCAGCAGAATTCAACCCTGAATTTGTAAAGATATTTGGAACAGTTGGGTTTGCTAGAACATTTACTGTTTACTATCTAAACCAGAAAGGCAATTTAAACAACCTTTCTCTTTGCAAACATTTGGAAGTAGCCTGCAATGTGGAAATAATTTTAGTCTCTAAAGCCTAAAGAATTAGGCCTTTTGTTTTCCTCGCTTAAATGGGAATTTATCTCAGAAATTAGGACCATTCTGTCAGGGCCATAAAAGCCCTGTCATATGACAAATTTTTCATTACATTTTCCTTAAATTATATACTCTCTGCATCACTTGCTCTGTGTGTGTCTGTTAGTTTCTGATTCTGTACTGGCGTTCTGTAATTTCTTGCATCAGTCTTACAAATAATAATTTTATTAAAATCATGCACACATATATACACATATACTCTTTTCCCAGCCAAAAGAACGGAGTTGTACATCGAGAAATTTGGAGTTCAAACTCAGAAGATCCTCCAGCATCGAATTACTGAATAGCTTAGACACTGAATCCAAAGAACCAAAGCCTGAACACAGAAAATCTTTAAGTAAGGCTTTTTTCTTTTCTGATTTTTTTCTCTTTTTTTCTTTCCTTTTTAAATAACTATGCCATTACAGGGTGAGATAATTTTTATTACATAAAGAATGTAAGGAAGATCACTGGGAATTTTAAAGCTCAATGTGTTCTGTGCTGATATACGTAACTTGCATTTAAGTAAAGATAGCTACTAGCTCCACACTTTTAAAGGTTCACATTCTCTCCTAAGCAAAATAAATTTGTTTAGGAGCAAAAACATTTATTTAAATCATTTATTTTTAAAAATTGGCAACATGAGTCCTATGTTAATGGTCTGTTGCAGTTACTTTGTTTCCATTTTACTAAAATAGCTCAAATTGCCAGAGTAATTTTGTCTGTTGTATATTTATACATGGAATTTCTGAAAGACCTGTCATATCCTCTATAACCGACAATCAGTGATATATCTATAATTTTACAGAAGGTAAATCCCAGGGATCAAGGTTGATTTTTATCAGTGTGATTAGAAAAGAAAGTGATCTAAAACCAGCAGGGATGTGCTTTACTCCACTGAGACTTTCCTTTTCCAGTGTGTGCTGAGATGCTCATGATTTTGTGGGCAGTAGACACAGAAGCTAGTGGTCACCTGGAATCACTCATTCAGCATTTTTTTAATTTTGCCCTCTCATTTGAAGCTTTTGTTTTTCTTCTTCATTTGGCAGGAGATTCACATTCTGCTTTGTGAACAGCTTTAGACTTGCATGCTAGTATGAGATACCTATAGTTACCAAAGTGCTGTGTAAGAATTTGCCTGCATGTGCTTCAGCCTTTGATATTGCATTAAAAAGACACAACGTCATTATTTTTAATTAGAATTATCCACACAATCATAAATATATACGCACACATGCATGTGCCTGTACACACAAATACAGATATTCATTAAATAGTCTCTTTTTGCAGACCAAAGATTTTTATTGTTGTTGTTGTTGTTTTCTTATTATCTTGGAGATCTGAGTTTTTAAAAGATTTTTCCTTCTGTTATAAAATATAAAGTAGCCTGAATGTAGCTTGTGAAAAATTGTCCCAATATCTTTGTACTGTGTGTTACATGGCATTTCTCAGAGGAAGAAAAATAAGACTGAGAGCATGGTAAGTTTTGAGGGTCTGACTCTCCTCTTACTGTAGCTAATAGCAAAATGCCCATAAACTGTCTCCACATGTGGGGAATTTTTATTTATTTATTTATACTTCGCACATATCTTTAAATAATAATTTCTCAGACAAAATGAAAAAAGTGGGTATGAACAGGGGAAGAGACTTAGCCTACATTTCTTTTCAAACCTTAGAGAATCCTGAATAACCTCTGTTTTGTTAAAGGCTATTTAAACTCTTAAAAAATGTGAAAATATCTGCTGTGAAATCTCACTGAATCGAAGCTTGCATTTAAATACTGTATATTGGATTGCTTCTAAAATATGTATTCAGAACTTCTTTTTTGGCCCCTTGAGATCAAGCAATTATGTGGAATTAGAAAAATCATATTATTCACTTACTTATTAGTAGTCTAAGCACAAACTGTATTGTCAGTTTTCTGCCTTTGGCTTTCTGTGCCCTTAATGTTCACACAAGTATCGTAGCCAGAATTATCCGCAGCTAGAGCCAAAATTGCTTTAAAAAGGCATGAGAACTGGTAATGACACATTGTTAGCAGTTAACAGGTGGTCGTTTCATTGTCCAGTTTGACTGCAGAGCACAGAGAAGATACGTGAAATATCTGCAAGTGTGTTTAGAAAGTTCTTACAAAGTTTAACAATTTTATAATTTTATAGTGCTCTTGTATTATTGACTACTGCCACTGCCAAATCCAAACAAAGGAGATTTTTTTTAAAGATGGCTCAAAACTCTCCAGTTTAACACAGAAAACAAGCAAGTGATGTGTTAGCAGGCCAACCCCCCAACAATCTTTAGTGGCATATTCAGACAGTTCAGACTCATTTGTATTTAAATTTTCTACATTTTAAGGGCTGCAAAAAATGTCCAGTTTTAGAATTGTTATTGCTATGTAACTAGGAGGTTTTAGCAGCATAAGTATATAAAGGACAGGTATATTCTAACCTAAGTATTCCAGTAATTTGCTCTTTAATTTAAAATTAGGAAGACTGCCCCTAGAGACTTAGTAGCAGTAATCTGGGTTTTATGTTTAATCCTAATTGCTTCTGCTTACACTACAAAGACAAATGATAACTCTCTATTATGTTTTTTTTTGAGCTGTAGACACTGATTTCATTGAAAATTGGGTTTAAACTGTCAGGCTAATTTCCAAAGTTCACAGAGTGCTCATGGTCTTGGTCATGCAGCTTTTCAGTGGCTTCTCATCCAGTTTGGTTGCAACTCATGTTCTAATTCAAGTTTTCTTGAGTGAAGAGGAAACCAAGGATAGCCCTGGGGAACATTACCAAAACAAATAAAAACCTGATCCTGCTCTCAAATACATGGAAAGAGATTACTTTTTTTTTTTTTTATGATGCCAACTATTTCACTGACTTAATTTATGCAGCTAATGCTGGGTCAGAAAGAACATGTTTTTCACCTTAGGAACCTCCCGCATTAGAAGACATACACAACTGGTGAAAGGAAACTGTCTTGTAGCACTGCTCCTTATACAGAGAACTGTTGTTCTAAATTGGTAATTTTTAAAATTAGTGGCAGACTTCAGAATTCCAAGTAATTTAGTTGTCATTCAGACTGTAGGTTTTGGGGCTTTTTTCTTCTAACATTGCCAAAACCCCTCCAAATTGATACAAATTATAATTGGGTCTTCTGGTAGGTGGTCTGCCATGTTAATTTTTTACTGCATGAAATCAAACACCAGGGTTAGACTGAAAGTAGAGGTGCTCTCAAGGTGCATGGAAGGTAGGGAAAGGGTCTGTGCGTTGCACAGTTCCCAGAAATCATTCAGCTTTCCAAAACCCAAGAGATCTTACTGTGGCTATGGACAACAGGATCTGTCAGAACAGTCAAGCAAATTGCAGGCAAGCAAACCGACTCCACACTCTCCACTAAGCTCAGCATTTCATTTTCTGTTCATGGTTGCTTCATATTTTGCATTTTGGCCATCATCTGAGAATTCTGTCACTCAGGAGTGACCTCTTGTGGAAGAGCTGGGGCTGGAGTCACTATCGGTTGTCAGACGGGATCAATTCCCCTTCTACTCCCTCTTTTCTGGATAGAAATAAACGGCTTCACAGTAGGAAGAGTGCCCTTTGGCTACTGTATCAATCTGAGGGCTGCTCTTGTCAAAATGCACAATCACAAGCTTGATAATACAATCCATTCCCAAAGCACTATATTTCCAACCTGTTCTCCATCATTTCCTTATGGCGTCACATTTACTCAGTTTATCACATTCTTATTAATATTTTAGGTTTCCTTGAAAGTGATGAAATTCTATTTTTATTACAAAAGCAACAAGAATAAATACTAATTGTTGTCAGTTATTTCCTTATGTAGTGGGAACAGTAATCTGTTCCTCAGCTTTAGGTTGCCAAAGCAAAATAATGAAATATTTTAGACATTTAAAAAATCTGTGATATTAGATAAATGCAATTTGATCTCCTTGTTTGCCACATAAAAGCTGGAACTGCCTGCATTGATAAGATTGAATTGCATTATTTTTATTGTTTCTACTTGCATAGTTTTCTTATCTTCAAAACATTTTACTTAAAACCCAGTGGTTAATCATGAAATCCTGTGACAGATCCTGGAAGATCTCTCCCATATTTGAATTCTGGCTTGAGGTGCCACAACTACAGCATCAAGATTGAAAAAGAATAAATATATATATCTGTATGTGTGTGTGAAAAAGGAAGTCTTATGGGCTGTGTGGTATTATTGTAATTCATGATCACTTTAGTGTCTTGATAAGAGCAGTTGGACATCCAGGCACCATTGTGCCAGACACAATATGACAACAAAGTAAGACAATTCCAGCTCTCAGCCTGAATGAGGACAAGTTGCAACAGGTGGAAAAACCAGACAAAAGCAGGGGTGGAAGGAAAAGTTGACAGCAAAGCAGACATGTCATGCATATTAAACACCAGGCTTGGGATTCCTTTCAACTCTTCACTAGGATCAGGGTCTTAGCCCTGGCATCCTCACCACAAGCCAACTCAAATAATGATATTTTTCTTACCTAAATTCTTCTTGCACTTCCAACAGGCAATGATGCTTTTTTTTTAGTCTCAAAAGGCGATGCGTTGCTCTAGGATGCCACAGCCCTCACACTCTTCCCCTGAAATGGCTGCAGAGCAGTGTCTGGGAATATGCCTCCTTGCATCATTTTAATCAGGAAAAAATAATAACCTCTGAATCACAATTTTGAGTTGCCTTCAGAGGTATTTGCAACAAAGTTATCTGGGCTCTGAAATTTGCTGTGGCTTCTTAAAAGGTACAGTTTAAGTCAAGCATCCCATCCCTATTATTTAGTCAAGGACTGAGTTTGTACTTTAAAATTGCCCAAAGTTGCCTTTATCATTTCACTCACTTTTCCTTATCCCAGAAGGCTGAATTTTGAACCTAGAATAAGCATGGCATGTAAATATTCCTAAGTAATTACTGAAACATTCCGAATCATCTCTGAATGCATTTTGTTAGATAATTAAGACTGTACAATGTAGTAGTGCTGGAACAGCAGTAGAAACCCAATTTGGTCTCTCAGTGGATGCGATAGAAGAAATGGAGAATTCAGTGGAGCTTTAACTCTTTTTGGCTCCATGTGATTCTTGCTCCTTCCTTGGATCAAGCTTCTGCTGAGGGCTTGCTCGAGGGTTTAAAGATTGTCCCCACACACGACTGTATTTTTTTTGTGGCAAACACTGATGCTATTGTTTATCTGCAGAGGGAAGGAGTGGTTACCAGGGCACTAACACATGTATTTGTGCAGCTTCAGCTGCTTAAGTAGCAGGAAGAAAAAAAAAAGTCAGAACTTAATTTGTTGAAAGCATCACTTAGAGATCCTAGAAAAAGGAC